TAGACTATTGTCCTCATCTTTGTTACCTATATTTATCACAAATATGCTCCGGCCTTCTTCAGGTGGTTGGAATGTCAAACTGAAGCCTTTATCCACTGTGCCATGTGTCCTTGAGGACACATGGCACAGTGGATAAAGGCATTAGTTAGATCCAGTGACAGGACCCAAAATACCTGGTTATGGTGGTGGAGAACTTGGAGAATTAACAGGAGATAACTGATAACTGACATCCATTAGACATGGCACATGGAACTAGAACAGTCTACCCCAGCAAGCAAACTAAAAGTTTCAGTTCGACATTCCAACCACCTGAAGAAGGTCGGAGCGTACAACGACCAAGATGTTGTGATAAATATGGCCACAAAGATGAGGACAATAGTCCAAATAATGTAAACAGCAGACAAACTCTGTTCACTAGATTCATTTATTTAGCATCAACAATTTATATGTATATTTCTTATGATCTGCACTTATTGGAATTGCATGTATTTATTTGTATTATCTGTTTCTATGAATGGGAAATTATTACTTTTAGAAAAACAAATTTAAGGGAAATTTTGTGAATAATAATATTTGAAAAAAATGTCATTTAATGAGATGGATGTGCTTATTTGTTCATAAGCAGCCGATTCCAATTGGAAACACAAGAAGACAATGCTACACGCATATCAGGTGCAGTGTTGAGCCTGTTTCTGTCTTCCATCTTAAATTGAGTTAATGTGGAAAATCCTAGTTCACTCAAGTAAGTAGTTGTAAAAGGCAACACCTTCATAGCTAAGTTTTGTTGTGAGGTCTCTTTGTGAGAGAGAACTGACATCACCCAGCCTACAATGAGTTTGATGAACAAGATACATAAACTCAATGAGGACAATATGTATGTATATATATATAATTATATTTAAAAAAATAAAATATAATGCAAGCTTACTTTGATGAAAAACTAGCAATGATTTATGAGTGCTATACAACATTTAGAGTTGTTTATATTCTGCACTCAGTGTAACATGATGTCTAAGAATGGTAAAGTATTGTTTTTTTTCTATTTTGTATGTAAATTCTACAATTTACATATGAAGTAGGAAAAAAACAGTACTTTACATTTCTTAGACATCATGATACACTAAATTGACAGCCCAAGTGTCCACCAAAAATCAACATCACTAAAAATCTCAATTCTGTGCAAAGATCATATAAATTTGTCTCATTTTTGTGCAAAAATAAACTCACATGAGCTTCAAATTCAAATTTCCACATTAACCAATCAGCAACGTTATTTCAAACTCCATTCAAGCCTTTCAAAAAGCAATCTTCTTCTTATTTGTTACAATCCAGAAAATGATAAACAATATTTTCCCTTCTAAAAATGATGTAATGGAACAATTAACAGAGCTTACGAAACTGTTGTGCACTAGTGTTCAGCAGCAACAATAGCAAATACAACAGTTGCAAAACCAACAACAACAACAGCTTCAACTTCTTGAAAAGCAACAACAGCAGCAAATACAACAGTTGCAAAACCAAACAACAACAGCTTCAACTTTTTGAAAGATTGATGACGAAAACCAGAGAACAAAAACTAGTTTCTTCTCTGCCAAAGGTATTGCAAGTTCATTAACGTTTGGTTTAGATTACTTCAGTGGAGGAAAATCTGTGATAAAATCAGCTTTCACCATTTAGCCAATAGTTTCTTCATATGATTGCATCCTAAATTGGCATTCAAACAACCTTTGATGTAAAGATTGATAAGAATTATTGAGCATTAAAAGGGAAAAATTCCTGAAGAACCTCTTATTATCCCCAGATTTACAGTAAAGGTGTGCAGAAGGAGCGGGGACATTCATGTGTTTACACTTGGAGTTGAATCAAGCACTGATGCCTCATCCCTGTTTTTGTTTGATTATTAGATTTGTGAACAATGCCATACTATTTGAAAGTTATTACGGCCATAGAAAATTTACTGAAGATCTAAAACATTGAAACAATTTAACCCCAAGCAATGGCCACACAAGAAGGTTTTATCAATGGAATTCCTTTATTAAGAACAATGAAAAATATGCAAAGAACATTCTGTAAAAATGATGAGGTGGGGAGTAGCTTAGTATACCAATGGATGATGCATGCAAGTGGGGACACAGGGGGTTGCGGTTATAACATTGCAGCCATGTACATAATTTTCTACATGCAGTAGATTCAATGCAGTTACAATAGTCTTGGCTGACTAAGCAAATAAAACCTTCTTTAAAAGTATACCAGCAGAAACTATCACTAATAACTCAACTAAATTAGATTAATGAATGAACATAAATTAAATGTATATATGAATATATATAATTCCATAACCATTGGAGTTTTGCAGGAAGTCTTTCCAGCATAGGTAATTAAGAAAATATTTACCAAAATAAAAGTGCATGCCTACCAGTTAATATATTTGTTATCAATAATTCAACAACAATATTTAGTAATTTCAAATTTAATGTTGGAAAAGAAATACTGAAGTAAGTTTAATTAGTACTGAACAACTTAATCTTATGTTAAAAAAATAAAGAATAAAACATCATTATATAATGATCTGTACAAATCTGAGGCAAAGTGGAGTAATGGTTAGTGGCTTGGACTGAGGATTAGAGAGTTGAGTTTGGATTCCACTCGAGTTCATTACATTCACTTATATGTTAATATTCTTGGGAAAGGTATGAGTCAAACTCTCCTCCACAACTATTGGTAAATAGTAGTACAGTCTTGAGTGGCAACTAGCCTAGGAGAAAGAAAACTTTGAATTCAAACCAGCCTAGAGAAGGTTGGGCCCCATCAGGCTATCTTGCCTAAGACACACCACTTTTACTGTGGCTGCAGTACATGAGGTATCCCTACAACCTTAATGGTTTATGGGACTTATGATCATGACAAATTCAAATTGAAATTCAAAACATTTAGTATAGCAATTGTATTAACTAGTTTGGGATGTCAAAATGAACAAAAATATTATATTGATGAGATTATCATAAGGATAAGTTATCTTGTTATAAAATAAATTTATCTAATTTTTGAACATGATAATACTAAGAAAATACAGAATATATATATTGTTGAAATAGATGTAACCGTAAAGTCTATTATAATAGTTTCTTTTCTTGCACTTCCTGTCTGTGAAACTCCCTTCGTGTTTCTTGTTTCCCTACAATTTAAAAAGCTTTGTTAAACACCATCTTCCATTTTCTTGAATCCTGTTCTTCTATTGTCCTATCTCCACACTAAAGTCTTTCACTCACAGTACCCCTTGCATCTTAGTGACATTATCGCCATCTTCTGTCTTCCTGAAACCTGTTCTTTTATTGTCGTTTCTCCTCACTAAAGTCTTCTCATTCTCTTTCACTCCCAGTAACCCACACCCCTGCATTAATGCCTTGCTTGGGGTGAAATGATTAAAGAAAAAAAAACAAAAAAACTTGAAGCTAAATATTTTAGTTTATACACTTTTGTAACCACATTTTTAAGTCATCTACAGAACTGCTAAATATAAGTCACTAAACAATTGGAAGAAAAAAGAACATGTTAGAAATATTTTTTTTATGAATTTTTGGTTTTTAAGTGAAGTTTTAGAGAAAATGAAAACAAAAAGGACACTTTATTTAACATCATAGAGAAAAAGTTGAAATTTCTCAGGCACATACTGAGGAAAGAATGCTTGTAAAATTTGATGCTTATAGGAAAACAATGCATAACAAGCTTGAGTAAATGGATAGTAGAACAGGGTTTAGAAGTAATAAGAAAAAGACAAAATTTATTAAGACCTACATAGGACAGGAAATTGGGGAGAGCCATGACTGCCTACGTCCTGAAGGGACATGGCACATAGAAGAAGAATGAGCTTGAGTAAATGGGTGGCTGAACAAGGTTTAGGAGAGAGAACAAAAAAAAACAAAATTTATTAAGAGCTACAAAGAACAGGAAATTGTGGAGAGCTATGATCACCAACATCTTGAAGAGATAAGGCACATAGAAGTCAACAGAAATAAGTTGTATAGAGAAAATCAGATGAAGAATGTGGTAATATAAATAAATTTGAATCTGGGGTTAAATCACTAATGTTTGGTCTATGTCAAATGGTTTCAAGGACTTTCTTTTATATCCTGTATCCTTTCAGGATGTAGGGAAACACTGCTTTCCACAAATTCCTATCCTTTTCTTGGAAGAATTTTATGGGCTTAAAGATACAATATATAATTTGAATCTTGTCAGATGTTTATTCTTTATTTACAAACCATAATATTTACTGAACAGACATATATGTAAAACTTCAGAAGAACTAGTTAAAAATTAATAACGGCAATGTTTCCTCTCCAAAATTCAGATAATTTGATATATACATTATATTTTTTATTGCTATTGATACTTTTCAAACAAATATCACCTCAGTCTTATAATAATTGGTATATTTGTATACACATTTCAAAGGCAAAAACACATGCAAGTTTCAGAAGCTGAGTACACCTCAATGTGTACACAATTGGCTAGCATCATATAATAATTCTACTTGTCCCTCTCTTTGTTAGGTATTTCCTTAGTTAGTTCACACAACCATTATGCCTTGCCAATACTTAATAAATAATAAAGTATCCAGTTTTGACCATGTGGAAAGACGGAAATTACATATCAGTGATGCTACTTTGAAAGAAAGAAAGAAAGAAAGAAAGAAAGAAGGGCATATAAAAGTGTTTAAATTCTGTTTCAGTGAAATGGAAAAAGTTGTCAATTTCAAATCTTTCATTATTGTTGTTGCGGTTATTTGATAGTTATTAAAGTTGTTAAGCTCAAATATTTAATGATGTGATAGGGGAATATATGAGCATATTCAATCATTAACTTAAGAATTAAGATTCATCACAAAAAGATTAAAGTAACAACTGTTATGGGATGGATGTAATAAAACAATTTTTAAAAATATATTTTGTACAGAAAGTTCTGCGGCCACTTTCCAAATGTGATGAAAAGATACTTACAGGATTCTTTTGTTTAGCAGCAGTGAGAAGAGACATTGTGATTTCAGATAAATAGTCAAAAACAAGAAAATCAATTCTGCCATGATGGATAAGTTGCTGAGCTGAAAATAGAAAGAAGAAGAAGAGTAATTACTATGAAACTATAGATTTATACTTCTTTATATTATTTCACTTTTGTTATGCATCATTTGTATATCACATTACACTATCTTTATGAAAAAAATCTATTTGTAAAAGGTTATAAATCTTATAAACAGTTTGAATACAATCTTTATTCAACAAACTATCAGAGTAAAGAAATTGCATAATTGTAATGAAAGAGCATGTTTGGTTATTTTTATAACAGATTAATGTAAAAATGTCTGACAATGTCTTTATATTCATATAAATTCATAGCATTCACTCATTAAAGTATTTTCTTTGGCCTTGTGCCAATTTTAAATTAAATAGTGTATTCCATCATCAAAACAATTTTAATTTTGATTTGAATTCTTTAAGAATTTTTTCAATATTCAGAATTTGTTCAAATTGTGGATGTGCAAGTATTGTAATGGTTAGTGGCACAGAACAAGAATTTGGCAAGTTAAGTTTCCAGTTGAATTCATTACATTCACTTATGAAGAAATAGCCTTGGAAAAGGTATAAATTCTTCTCTTTTCCCTCAGGCTATTGGTTATATAACTAGAACAACAACTTTGAATTCAAAGCTGTGTATTACTTTGGCGAAGTACATGCTATACAGCCATGAAAAAGATCATGGAGTTCATAATTACCTGTGTTAGGATGGAGTTGTGGATTCCATGATTGTAACTACAGTCAATGATAGTCTAAAGCTACTAGGTGTAGAAGAACTTCCCATACCAGCTCCATGATTTCTTGTGAGAAGACATATTGTCATGCAGCTAAATGACCAGTCTGCTTCTTTGTTCAGAAGGTATTTATTTTTCTGACCATTCAATACATCCAATCCTAAACTTGTAACATTTCATCACCACTGAAGGAACACTACACCAACACCTGATGAATGGTCATACCCTCAAAGAGACTTCTTCCCTTAATTCTCTACTGGGTCTAAAGTTCACTCCCAATCATAAAAAACATGCTGTAAGAATGGTTGGTTCCTTTTTTTTTGCTCCAGAAAATACTTAACTCCTGCAGACATGTTCTAACCTTATGAGAACCAGATCAGTATGGTGCACTGCTGCCATATCTGGGCTGGTGCTGCCAGCCTGGACAAAGTTCAAAAGCACCTACATAGCCTTGTGGGTGATGAATTATTTTCCACCCTGCAAACCTTATCCCACAGATGAAATGTTACCAAACATTCACTACTATATGACTATTACTATGGCTGATGTTTGGATGAATTACATTTCTTAGTTAGTACCACCAGTTTGGACCTTCACATCTAGAACCTGCCATGCCATGTTCACAATGGTAAACTATCCCCATTCCTTTCATGTTTCTTTGACAAAAAGCAAGTTCTACTCAGACAACTTCTTTCCCATAATGGTTACTTTGTAGAACAAACCCCCAAGAGAATGCTTTCCTGACAACTACAATTTTGGTCTTTAAAAGCCCAGGGTCAACCAATATCTATCATACTTAAAATACTCCCTTAAATCTCTATCAGTAACCCTCTACCTTGAGTGGCTCTTGGACCTTGTATTGGAAGAAGTTTCAGTAAATAAAAAAAAAGAAGAATCATCCAAATAACCTAATTGTTACTGTAACAGTTTGTCCAGCAATTTATGATAAATAATTTCTTTTGAACTCCACTAAGCATGGAGAACTTTTCTTGTTAGTTGATTTCACTTAGTTTAAGATGATGCAAGTTATTCTGTATCTTGTCACGGTTTTCTTCTCAGATATTTATAATAAATTTTTCCTTGTCAGTGACTGTCTTGTCTAAAAATAACTTTTTTTCTTTGTTGAATAAGAAGAGAAAGACAAGTAGTTAAATATTGATAATAACCTGATAATAACCTTTTTTTAGGATTAATTTTCCTAGTTTGTGAATTTTTATTAGGCTTGTAAATGATTTAGTGTGGCAAAGAGTTGAGTTAACTTCAAATCCTTTTTTAAGATTTTGCATAAGACGGTATCAGAAACTTTTGCTTGAAACTAAAAGTAACACTTGTGGAGAAATGTATTGTGAAAGAATTAATTTTTGTTGCATATTTTTCTAATTTTAATTCAGAATGAATAAATTCTTTTAAGATTTTATTTGGTTTGGAAATGGAAAAAAAAATTGATAAGAAATAAGAGTAAAACAGTGTGTATAAAAAAATTCTAAAGAGAAAAATGTAAAACTTCTAAAGCTCATGTACAATAACATTTTGGTTAGGACTATGATAAATGGAATCGGTAACAATTTAAAAAATAAATTTCATTTAAATTTAATTGTAAATTAATATAGATTTATTTTTAAAAAATATATTTTACTAATATTCTCCTGTTATAAGTTTAAACTGATACCTTTTTTTCTATATAAATTATAATTATTCGATATTATTTAAATAATTAAATTGAATAAGTAATAAATTACTAAATATTAATAAATTAATATTTTGATTAAATATTAATAAATTATTAAATATTAATAGATTAATATTAATATTATGACTAAATATCAATAAATTAATAATTAAATTAAATAATTAATAAATTATTAAATATTATTATTTAAATTATAATCATAAACTATAATTTTTGGAAATGAAAAGAATTAAAATATGTTTTAACTGAAAGTAAGAAACTACAAACTAAGGAATAGTTACATGTAAAAAAAATGTGAGAATTTTAATTGATACCATAATATGGGTTTAAAATTTCAGAAATTTTTAATATTCCTCTGTGTAATAAATTACAAAATGTATTAATAATGTCTGTTGTCCTTCCATACATCAAAATTACAACAGTCTGTTACTCATACACAGGACTTTGTTGTGATTTTTCTATTGCCCCTATTGTTCTGTACAATTAATATGTTTTATAACAGTATATATCTGAGAAAAAAGATTAACAAAAACACTCTCCTATGAATCATAAACTTTTAAGCTTATAACTTTCAAGGTCTAGACAATTTTGTAAGTATTACTTGTAGGCACTTGGTATGAAGGACTTATTACATTTACATTACAGATGTATTTATATTATTCTGGGCATTATATGCTACATTGCTGTATGTATGCATTTATAGTGTATAGTATTATAATATAGCATCTTGCAATTAATATAATTTGCAATTATTATTTATTTTATTTCAAGTTATATATGTACTGTTTATTATTTTTTCCATGTACTGGGCTTTCCTGTATTAGTATTTATTTGTTTTTTTACAACTAATCTGAAGAGCATTTGTCTTATTTTTATTTTGTTTTTACTTACCTAAAGTTATATTTATTAATTTTACATTTTCTACTGTTGTTCATTTTTTATCAATTGATAGTTTAAGTGTCAGTAGTCAAAAAGAAAGTATAAATTATTTTATTCTATGTTAAATAATGACTTCATAAGTATTTTAATCCCGATTTATATTTTTATTTTTTGTTTATGCTTTTTCTAAAATTAAGAAACTTTTTGATATTTGTGATTGTTTATTTATGCATGACTATTTCACAATTTCTCTTGCATTCTAGTGTTTTTGTTTACCTAATGTTTTATTATATATTTAAAAAATAGTTAATTTTTTTTTGAGCTTCTAAATCCTGTAATGTATTTAATGTTCATATATGTACATTATATATTTTCCAAAAGTTTTCATAGCTGGGGGTGATAGTGGGGACAAGGTCCCACTGTCTATAAAATGTTTCCATGACATGTATCTCAAATAGTGTCTAACAACTAAGTCCAGCTCCAAGCTGGAGAATGGATGAAGGTGCACAACTGGTGCCTCATAACCAGCTGCTTTGGGAGGATGGAGCTCGACAGCCCAGTAAATCAGTCCATCTAAAAGAAGGAAAAGCCTGATTTTAAACCTCCACTACTTTGCAGTCATATCCAAACATGGAAAAGACTATGGAAGTAAATCAGACAGAAAATCCAGAGTGGAGTCCTGATGGCAGTTGGCTGTCTCAACACCAACAACTCCTGCAGCCAAGCCATCTCCAAATGTAATGCCCTGTATTCCTTTAGATATTGTATGTACAGCTGAGCAGGGACAATGTAGACTAGGCAGTGAACAGCCTCCATATATCATTGCCAAGGCCTGCATCCTGGAGAGGTCACTCCAGTTTAACCACCAACAGAGGACACTACCTTGTGAGATAAATGGATGTCTATTTTATTTATAGTGCATTACATTGTGTTATAATTCTTTTCTTTTTCTTATGTATCTTTTTACTTTACCAATGAATCTGTTATGTACAAGTTATTGTGATTAATGAATGTGAAAGCATTCAAAAGTGACCTCTTGAACTGAAAAAAAAATCAGATACTATCTTTATATATGTGGAACAAGAGACATCATCATCATTAAACAAGGCATCATTGTAGTGCCACTGCACAGTTGACCAGTTCCCTCCACATGTAGCAGAATATGCATGTGCAAATGAGGAATTAAATAAATCTTCAAACATGGATTGAAACCCAGAGTGTTATTCATTCATGCTCAGTGTGTCTTGGGCAAGCAGACATGGTGGAGTTCATCCCTCATAACATCAAACTACAGCCAATGTCCACTAGCTTAAAGGTTCTGGACACATGGCCATTGACTTTAGTCAAGGAAGCCCTTCATCCAGTGAGATTGCATTATTACTGCACTGGATGTATACATAGCTATGTCACCCAATTTACCTCACTATACTAAAAGGCTGTTGATGCTAAAAAAAAAAAAAAAGGTTCATCCGGTCACTGACATCCTGTTGTCTAGCCATACTTTTGACCAAAAAAAAACCTGATGGGAGAACCAGTTTAGTCACTGATAACACAGCCATGAGTTAGATAGTACTGACTTACCTGATACCAGTAGCACTTGAAGAGTGACCTGATAGAATTACATTTATTACATTGAGTTATAATTCTTTTCTTTTTTTTTTTTTTTACTTTACCAATAAATCTGTTATGCACAAATTACTATTTATTGTGATTAAGGAAGATG